TGAGGTCAGGCTTACAGTTTTAGGCAGTCGCGTTCGTCCACTGGAGCAAGTGATCGACCTCCATTGATTACGCTGCTTGGGGCATGTATTACGCATGTCACCAGATAGGTTTCCATGGCAAGCGAATTTTGCCGAAACAGGTAGCGGATAGAAAAAGGTCAAGCGCGGTCAAACTTAGACCTGGCACGAGGGTATAAAAACCCGAACTAGGAGATCGGGTCACATAGGTCCCGTTAGGCTCCCTGGATGGGAATCTCGAGATCATAGACAGCGGTGGTTAGAGACAGTGAATGATATGACTCAGTATCGCAAACAATGGCGCTCGTGTATCTTCTCAGTATTCTTGCAATCTCAGTCTATATAAATTCTCTATATTCCCTTCGAATTTCCTTTTAAGATTGTGACCTTCATTCTGCTGTTTCATCTAAGTAGGAGGTCAAAGTACAACAACAATCGATTCTACTCTATTTGTTTGCTGTTGTGCACGGTGACAAAAGTGACACCACGTTATCGATTCGTCTGCCACAACAGACGTTCAACTTACGGTGCAACCCCGCCTATTTGGATCACGGACTATGGCACAATCCGATTAAAAATAATGCTAGGGTTTCGAAATACTATCCTCTTGTGGAGGAAGTTGAACGTCTGTTGTATGGTCACCAAGCTCGCCATTAAAATCACCGAACTCAGCAACATTAACCTTATGCGTTACACACTACTGTTTGATGAACGGCAAAGTTCGTATCACGAGGACCCCCTGTTCACTCATGATAATCGATGACCCAAGCCCTGGGACTTGGAGTGGCGAACCAAGTGAATTCCAACAGAATCTGCATGGTAATGAACCGAGCAAAAGCTGAGTTGTTTATAGTTGTCTAACAATAGCAGTGTTGGAAAATAGAAGACAAGCTAGTTAACTATGAAGTTAAGAAAAATTTTAAACCGCATTGTAAGATAGTACAATTTGGGACATATTGACTGATTAAGCAATTAGAAACTGAATACTTGTTCTCCTCACTAGGTGAAATACGAAAACTTAACTTCCTGACAGTTAAAAATTAATGACCAATGTAATTACATTATACGGAACTCTAATACGCTCAAATAAAAATACTGTAAAATTTAATGAACAGCTAACAGACAGAAGAGTCTGAGGAATACAGAAGACAAACCCGTCAAAAAATCAGGAAAATTACATACCTTCTCTTTGCTCATTTTCTCAGGCATTACAATGATACAACGGTAACCCTTAATTGCGGCCACCAAAGCGAGTCCGATTCCTATCCGGTCCATTAATTCTTGAATTGGTGTCGATAAACAGCTCACCTGTATTTCCTGATGTGGGTTCGATTATAGTATCACCAGGCTTCAGCAGCCCACTGCGTTCGGCCTCCTCAACCATACGTTTTGCAATGCGATCTTTTACGCTTCCACCGCTGTTCAGAAATTCACATTTGGCCACTAAAGTCAATTACAAACGTTAAAATTGTTTTGCAAACGACTCACAAACTTCACATTGCAAACCCTCGGATTTGGGTATGGAGTTCAATCGGACAAGAGGTGTGCAACCAATCAAATCCAAGGAACTGGTGGCTATCCTTGGACGTGTCCAGCTAATTATTGGTGCTAGTAATGACATTGCAACCGCACTTACTAAGGATTGTGGAAGTGTGGACTTTGGTGTACTGGCATATGTTCCGCATATGTGCATTTACTTGGAAGATCCGGTCTAGTCCAATCTTCGTCACCCATTGTCTAAAAAGTGAGATTAACCTGTGAAATCAAAAAATCAAACAAACACATTTTTACTCATAATCGAATTGTTTATAGTTGGTTTGAAAACAAACTATGGAAACTAGTGACTATGGGCTTGTAATCAGTCGCAGTAAATGAAACCTAAAAACTACACTATATTTTGGTGACATTTCAACCTTCTTGGACGAGATCTATCAAGTTCAAATTGATTTGGATAAAATAAAAGAAGCCATTGAAGAAGGTTAAACTTGTGTTTGATTATACATGTTGAGACAAACTGTAAACTCATCAATCAGCGCAGCGCATGTCCTCTTCCATCTGGTCCGCATGTAGGTGGCACGTTTTCATATTGTGAAATCTGCTAACACCTGGCCTGAAAAATGTAATGTTTTCACAAATCCAACTTTAAAGAAATCACGAGTCTCGGTGGGATTCGGACCAACGGATAAAGGACACTACCACGTTTACACAACTATACCAGGTACTTGCCACGTCCTCCCTTATAGTATCCGCTTAGCAGTTTGACCCTGACTTGGCCTTTCTCCAGCAGGTTTAGGAGATTTCGCTACCACCTTCGGGGGGTTGCGCTGTTGGGCTCCAACTTCCGGACAAGCTGATTTTAGATTAACAAGTTATTACACGTAATGTGCAGATCCACTTGCGGAATTGTTAAAGCTTGTACAGTCGATTTGTCTCAGAGAAAAGCGCATTGCAACCGGCCTTTCGTTTTAAATCTCATCCTGCCCATGTGGGTAGTGTTCACTCACGCAGTTTGTTTCAGTTTGAACGATCATTAACCAAGCACCTTTGTGCAGCGATTTTGATTCACATTTCTTCGTTGGTCATTTGGATGAACAGATAGGCAGATTGGAATGTTGACAGCAGAATCAGAGAGAAGGATAATTCACACAGACTGCGGGTACCAGTATAATGCGTAGATGCACGAGCGCCATTGTTTGCATCATCATCATCATCATCATTGTACAGCGTAATACAGTGAAGCGAACAGCGCACAGCAGAAGTTGTGAAGCACGNGGCTTGTTGCTACCGACAGGTGTGGTTGGTGGCGTTAGAGTTGCAGTTCGATTACAGAAATGTCAGGAACCAACGCGCAATGTTTGCGCTGGCACTTGAAGCCATTCCAGTCGACCAGTTATCCTCTTTACGGGATTCAGTTTTAACCCCTTAGCTTGACCACCCTGGGCGTTATTCCACCAACTACCTACCTCGGTAAACATCGCTTGCCGTGGTAACCTATTTGGTGACATGCGTAATACATGCCCCAAACAACGTAATCTATGG